CTGGCAGGAAATGCCCTGAGGGGAGGAGAAATGCCTGCTTCAGGCTTCTCTCTCCAGCCACCTTTTTTTYCCCTTCCATTCTCCTTTATCTCCCTTTGGCTCTTTAAAAATCAAATGCTATCTCCATCCCATTATAGGAAATGACCCTCAAGTGCAAGTGTAATTTTAACTCTACCCCCATGTCACTAGAGTGACACTTAGAAGCCCATTTAAGTCCATGGTCAGCCCTGAGATTTCTTTCAGTTGGTGACCTTCTGGTGTGCTTTTCCAGCTTCCCAGAGCTCTCTGGGGCCAGTCATCCCTGCCCACCCAAACCAGCCAACCTTGTCTGTACCCCCAGTGCCTGGCTCACAGGCTTCTCTCAGGAAATATATGTTGAATTAGGAAATGAATTCTCTTGGGAAGAAGGTCGAAGAAGTAGCCTCTTCTCATCTACAGGAGAAACATCATTCAATGCTTCTGAACGGTATCTGGAGGAGCATAAAATACAAGTATTTCCTGATTGTCCTGAGTTTGTCATTCCAGGTGTTCTCTGCCTCATTTGACTTCTTTAAGCTGAGCTCATGCTAACCTCATCTTGACAGTTTCAAAGTGATCCAGAAGATTTGCTGTCTTCTACTTTAAAAATAAAAAGAAGTTCCTCTTTCCACCATTCTGTCTCCTGCTTCAATACCTTTTCATTTTTTATTAATTCTTAGGTTTGAAACTTGCTTAAAAATCATTCTATGCTAGGTTTTTCTAAAAGAATTTAAACTTTAATAATCATCTAGAGAAGAAGCAGACTTAGAGGGCTTGCCAGGGGGCCTCTGGCCTGAGGATACAAATGTGTCACTGTTAGACAGGCAACTTCTGATTTTCATTAAAAGAATTAAAACTTCCCTGAGGTGCAGTCCCTTGAATTTAATTATTCATAGCTGTAACTGTTTCTGGTAAGTCAAGCAATGATCCTATTGTATAGTTTGTGAGCTGGATTTTTAAATGCTAGTTATTCTTATGACAAAGGCCATTTGACTTTGGTTTCTTTTGAAATGAAGCTTGCCTTTATTATCTGATTGAAAATTACATATTCTAGATGGAGAGGTTGATAAAGAAAACAAAACACAATCCAGAAAAAAAAAMAACCAGAATTTGTTTCTGCATCACTGCCCTAAAAAGCCTTTCCCATTGCTCCTGCACAGCTGAGAAAATGAGCAACCTAACCAAAGGTCCTCACTTTTGCACAAAGCTTTGATGAAGTCAGAAAGAAAGCACAAACTCCCCTTTGAAAGCTCATCATGAGGCGGAGACCTCCTAATAATCTCAAAACCATAACAACAGTCAGAGGGAGGAAGAGAAAACTTCAGTAGATCACTGAGGAAAGACTGTAGGGAAGCCAGGTTTGTGGCAGAGGCTCTGAGATAAAGTCAGTGTTCACAAGATGCCCTAGAAGTACTGGTCTACCTGGGCAGGCAAATGCTGCAGAGTGCGTGGCTCCTCCTGTGCATTTACCCTGCACTCATAGGATCTTCAGATGTGACTTAATAAAAGTATCCAATGTGGGTGACATACTGAGCCTAGGTATCAAGGTTCACAATATAGAAGACCAACCAGCCTCATCCTGGACTTCATTTTTTAAGTGCTATTAAGGTCTTGGTGGTAAAGATGATACTATTATTGCTATTTAGTATTAGTGGTATTTAGTAGCAATAAAAAATTTTATCACTTTAAAAACTTCAGTGCTTTTAAAGGCAGTGGGCAGTTATGATATGCCTCACATCTTTAGGGAAGGCAGATTCGATGACTGAAATAAAGCCTGGACTGGGTTTTGTTATATCCAAAGGCCTTTGCTTATTCTTTATAAGCAAAATCCCTAGTAATTCCCACCTACCTTGTCAGGACAGTCCCTGGATTACATTTCTAGAGGCATCCCTGCCCTTTAACTGGTTCTACCTATTCTCCCTGATATCACTTATGGATTTCATATTGTTAAAGCAAAGACATGTGAAGCCCTCCACTGCCCCCTTCCCTCTAAGGGCTCCAGCTCAAAGCTCTCTTCTCTCCTTTCTCCCCCGGCTCTGAAACCTTTCTGGCCCAAACCCTTGGCTTCTGCTTTCTCTTTTCCTGTGCTGATCTGTTCTGTGGAGTTTCTAGGGGCAAACAGGTACTTCCTACCACTCAGCCTGCTAACAGGGTAGAACCTGGCAGCTCAGGTGGAAAGCTGAGAGGTGCATGACCCCGGGCAAGTTTCCCATGCCAGTGTCCTTATCTGCACAGTGGGAGTGATGGTGGCACTCTCATCACGCATTCATCAGGACAACTTGGAGATCACTTGAGGGGAATGTTTCATCCCACAGCCTGGTGCTTGGAGCATGCTCACAAAAGCACTGCTGACTTGACACCATTTTTTTTTTTTTTTTTTTTTTACTTTAAATGTTGATTAGTCATGGAATTCTGTGCAAGCCAAATAACAGGTCATAAAATTTTGAGTTGTATCTTACAAGAGGAAATCATGGAAAAAGCTATGGTCCCCATGTTACATCCAGAAGGTCACTTTAATGGTATTGAGGAAGTAATATTTGCAAGCCAGGCAGCCACCATAATATAAAAGCCATTTATGGTGACCAGTCAAAAGCCATCAGCCAACATAATTGAGGAAGAACATTTGGACGAGAAAATTGCTTAAATGAAGGCAGTTTTAGCCACCATTTTCCTAATGACTTCTGATGAAAAGCTGGAAGGGGTTTCTGGCTTATATGCTTTCCTGTGATTTTCTGAAAAAGAAGCAGTTGATTAAAAAGCAATTCCTTCTTATTTGGGCCCTCACCCCAAGAACTTAGAAGAAATGATTTGAAGACACTTTTTCAATACATCCCTAACCATCCAAGTGCTCACTACTGCAATCCAAAACCCAAGAACCAAGTACCTCTGTCTGTCGTGAACCCACGCACCCTCTGAGTTGTGCCTGTCTAAACTTGGGAAGGATGGTGGGGTATACTTGTAACTGATTTTCATCATATGAACTTGAATTCCTCAAAGGAAAGAAGTTCAATTATGTTTCAATGTAATCTTTTTAAGATTTCATTGAATTGCATTGAAACATAATTGAACTACTTCTGCCTCCTTCCCTTCCATCTTCATAGGTGATTTTAGAAGAAATTCCAGAATAAAAATAACAATGCAGTTTTTGCCTTAGACAAGATTCATGGTTGTAAGCAAAAGTACTGACTCTGCTCATTAAAGAACCAGTTAAAAAATATGAACTGGTTCGCAAAGCGAGGTGTGCTTAGAAACCAGGCCCCAGGCCAAACTTCTAGGATTAGGCATTGCACCCAGAACTGTTCTAAGGACAAGTGCTCAGCCAGCTTTAGCTGTACTCTGCCACACTATCATTTCTGCAGTGGACGCTAATGAAATTTACTGCCAGGGCCCCCAGGGTATCCCCCATGGGGCTTGCACTGCCTTGCTACTGCCCCTGCTTATAGGGTCAGAGACAGGAGAGCTCTGCACACCCCACCCCCCATATGATCACCTGAGGCCAAGTCCAGTCCAGGTGCACCTGAAGACGAGCCCTAGCTATAGAAGTCTGGGAAACAAGCTCTGGTGTCTCTCTGGGCATGTGGGAATCATAACATTGGCAGTTCTCCAAGAATAGGAAGACTATTCAAAAGGTATGAGAGCCCTAAACAGGATCAGTGCCTACCAGAGCAGTGGTGAATCGATTTAGTGGATCAGGGCCAGGCCTGTAAAGGTAAAATTTCTAAGCTGATTCTAAACTGCAAGGCCTGGGTTAAAAAGTAAAAGACTAGGTATTGTTAAAATTCCTCTGCTACCCCCAGAACCTGTAATCCCTGTAGCTGTTAGGACAATACCCGAACTGCCCAGTAAATATCCCCACTGTTTCCACTGGTTGTTTAATAACCTGGGATTCTGTGTAGTATGTCACGTAGTCCTTTAGGCCCTAAAACCAATCAGTTTGAATGTGTACCCCACTTAGAAGTGACCAATCACCCCCATCCAGCCTGTTCCCGCCAGTGAATGTACTAATCATGTCTCAGAGTTGTTGTTCAATTTTCCCGCACCTCATGATGACTTGTTCTGATGTATGCAAAGCCCCCCGCCCTTCCCAAAAAGTGTACTTAAGCTCTGCTTGACCTCTGCTCTGGGCTCTGGGCTGCTCTATCTTCCTGAGTGAGCCTGGAACCTCAGCATGCTGAATCAATAAATCCCTTTTGCCAATTGCATGAAGCCAGTCTCTTGTGTAGTCTCTTCCTCCGACGCTTCGCCTGACCCTTACAAGCCAAATAGCTATTCAGCTTTCCCTACCCCACCCTACCACTTCATCTTCAATAGAAGAGAAAGTATTGGTGTATCATTTGAGTAAGGCTGTTTTGTCCTTTTGTGAAATTTGTTTCAGTAGTGTGCAATCTAACTGAACTGGGTTGCCATGCGAGAGGTGTGTTGGTGCCACAGGTCATTGTCAAAAGTCCCTGTACTAATAGTGCTCACAGAGTTTGTTTTCAAAGCACAGTGTTTCTTCTCTCATTTTCATTCTCTCTCACTTACCCACTCTCTCTTATACGGTCACATTGTGAGCGTGCAGTGTGTGTGTGTTATACACACACAGAGCTCGATTTGTCCTAAAAACCTTTTTCCCTGACTTGGGGGCAGTTGGGAGATGTGATGGTACAATATGTATTACACACACTCAAATGTCAGCCTGGTGACCTCTTCACTGTGACAACATCATTTCCCAGGAAATTATGTTCTCACTCCTAAAGGACAAAGCTTAAAAAAAATCTTTGTTACGAATGGTGCCTGGGACAACCATGGTAATAGATGAAATGTGGGTAAAAACATTTCAACCTAAACTTTGACCTTAAAGTGTTTATGTAGGTGGAGGAAAGAAAAAAAATAAAACAGTAGAGAGCTTTTTATTACCTACACGTAGAATGCAACTCTTTCTTTAGTTTTCTGCTGTTTCAAACCACTTTTCACCCTAACTTCATGTCTTCTCTCTGCAGGTCCATTTACCCGACCTCATCCAGCATTATGGCGAATGGTTTTTGGTGAGTTCTATTAGTAAATGGTCAAAATATATTCTAATCTTTTTTTCATGTATCATTATAGCAACTTGACTTTCTACATTCTACTTTCTAACCATTCCACAGTTAAGACTTTATAAAAATTTTTACTCTTTTGGTGTTCCTGGTACAAATTTTTTCTTAAACATCCTTGACATAATATAAAGCACTGACGGTGGCTTAGATTCTTGAACAGGTGAGTGCATTCCCCTCCACATGCCCCCTCCTAGAGTTGCTGTCTCTTGGTTTGCCTGGGATTTGGCTGAAGCAAACACCACTAGTTTTGCATGAGCATCCTCTCTTACCCGGCTGAAGTGCATCCTGTCAGCACGTTTGTCCTGACTGCATCCAGGAGTGATTGGATGCCTGGCAATTCAATGTCTTTGATGTTATTAGTGAGAAAGAAAATGAAAAAGGAGGAGTATTCTGACTGAGAGCCCTGATATGAACTAAAGCTTATTGATTATCATTTAAAAATTAGGTATCTTAATTTACTTGATTTTGTGGTTCAAAAAGTCAAATCACCTGAGCGAATTTAATAAAGCTTCAAAACTTAGGGTGTTTGACTTCGTGTTGTCTAAATAAAACATCAAATAACTTTTTTTTTTTTTTTTTTTTTTAGGTTTAGGAAATGTAATTTGTGTAAAAATGTAAAAGCACTCTGAAAATTGATAATTTTTCTAAAGGTTGTTTTTTTCGTTTATTTTTTTCTTTCACCCTTCAGAGATCATAGGTAATTCTTTATCCTCTGAATTTAATGGTGAACTTTTCACTCAGCAACTGTTCGTGGAGTGTGGCTTTGTGACAGGCACTGTCCTGGCCCTGAGGCCACTGAGGAGAACCAGTCAGTCAGGAGCCTGCCCTGGGGAGCCTCACCCTCCAGTTCAGGGAGGAGAACAGCTGTAGTGAATGAACTATTAAATCCGTAATCACCATCAGCGGTCACTCAGTAAAAGTTAGTTAGTCTCAGGTGAGGTGACAGTGACTGGGTGGGCTCCTCAGCTTGAGCACTGAGGGGAGGCCCGAGGGAGTGATACTTAATCTGAGACTCTCGAATATAAAGAGAGATCTAACTCTGCAGACATCTGAGGTTGGGAGACATTCCAGGCAAAGAGAAAGGCTGCCAAAGTGCCCCCCCTCACCAGCTAGAAAGGTGGTATGTTCCAGGCCACTGTGCCCCAGTGCAGTGGGCCCAGGGGGAAGAGTAAGAGAAATCACAAGGTAGGATACAGATAGATGCATTCAGGGCTCATGGGCCAGTGTACAGGGGATGGGGCAAAGGGCACTGGGAAATCTAAGGAGGCTTTTCCCAGAGGAGCAACATGGCTATATTTACATTTTTAAAAAGCCAGTCCTGAGCCAGGTACAGTGGTACAAGACTGTAATCCCAGCGACACAGGAGGCTGAGGCAGGAGGATTGCAAGTTCAAAGCTCGGCCTCAGTAACTTATCAACGCCCTAAGCAACTTAGCTACCTCAAAATAAAAAATAAAAAGAGCTGGGGATGTGGCTTGGTGGTTAAGTGCCCCTGGGTTCAATAAATAAATAAAAAGCCACTCCTGGCTGAATCTTCCTTACATTCCGTGGACTTAATATTACTGCTTTAAATTCTAAGTTATTTTCACATTGTTGGGCACATCTGAGAGTTTTGTTTTCCCTATTTCAATGAATCATTGTAGGTAATGAGCAGTTTTATTTCTCACCCAAGAGCTTTTCTGGAACATGGGGCCCTTGAAAATCTGTCGAGATCATTGACCCTTCCCCAGTACAAATTCTTATATACACAATTTTGCTTATCAGTGTTGGGGGATTCACAGAACTCAAAAGTCCAACCAAGAAGTCCATTTAAAGAGTCCCTGTGTCACAGATCATTTCTCCCTGTCTTAAAATAATTATTTCGAAGGGATTATTATTTTAAAGGGTGTAGTGGGGGGTCATTTAAGGCGAAAATTTGTAAAAGTGTCTGGTATGTAAGTGCACACCTACGACAGCTCTAAAAACAACATGCCTAAAAAATGTATGTTCCCTGGGTCTGGGATGTATGCATGTGGGTCACCCTGCTCCTCAGGCCTCTGTGAGCTCCCCGAGGGCTGGAGAAGGTCTGATGGGTGGCCTGGTGCTGCTGTGCTTAAGTAGATTCCATGCCTCTTCAATAAGCCTCAGACCTGTTCTTTGAAATGGTTCATTGGAGATTATTTCTGAGCCCCGTTTAGGTGGACATTGTGACCCAAGGTCATTTGTATCACAGTGTTCAGATGTCCTACTTCAACGTTTTAATTTTAATGGTTTCAACAGAAATAAAAGACAGTGTCCCAGTGGTTGGTTTTTAGTTCTTTCTAAAATGTAGTATAATACATAGGCTTTTGCCTTCTTAAAATGTTTTACTGGCTTTTCTTTTTTAAACGACATATTGTGGTTATTGGAATGGCAGTTAGACTATGATGTGACAGTAAGATAATGCCCACAAGGACTAAAGTCTCAGAGAAGTGTCCCTGGGCTCCTTCATACCTCACCTGGAGTACAAAAGTGGTCCCCAGCCTGGGATTCCACTTAAGCCGGACCCACTTCCTGTCCACTCAGTTGCTTCGGAAAATATTACCAAAGTCATTTCATTTCTTCCCATTTTCCTTAAAAGAAAAATCAGGAATTCTTGCCATAGCCTCAGAGCCCTGCCTTCACTTCATTGCTGCTGGCTCTGATCCTTTCTGCCAGCACCCAGCCACATGTGGGTCCTCGACATCTCTCTCCAGGGACCTATTTTTTGCTCTATCTGAACATCCCACACACTCCCCCACGCTCTCTCCACACACCCTTTGGCAGCCAGTCCTTCAGGGCTCAGCTAAAGCATCATTTTCTCAGAGACAGTTTTATTGACCTCTCTTAATATGAGTTAGGACTGTCTATAAGACTTCCTTGCCAAAGAGCATACCAGACCGTGATAGGCGTCTTGACAGTCTGTGTTACAATGTTAGTGCAGGTTTTGACAAATAGCCATTCAAGGCTAATGTGTACTGTGCATCTCTCCTAAACTTGAACCTGTTTTTGTTTCTGTCAGGACTCAGTGTGCTCTACTTCCTGTTCCTGGTATTTCTCCTGTTCCTGAATTTCGAGCAGGTTAAATCTCTGATGTATTGGCTAGATCCAAATCTTCGGTATGCCACCAGGGAAGCAGATATCATGGTATGTACTCTTCAGTAACCCAGTAGAGAAGTTAGTAGAGTCTTAGGGATAGGGGATAGTAGATTTCACATTTTAAGTTGTTCCTTTTCTTATTTCCTGAGTAGACAGAAAAAAATCCAGGACTCTGGGCAGGCCGTTGAGTTGCATGGTTTTATAGAAATTCAGGGTAATGAAATCTTCCCATGAAGCAAAAGTGTATGCTAAAGAGTATAAAGATTGTCATCAAAGAGCCTTGGGCCTGAATTCTGTCTGTCACTTGTCCACCAATGGACTTTGGGCAAAGTGCTAGTCAGCTTGTTCCCCCTTTTATAAGTTGAAAATAGTAATAGTTCTTTTGGGGAGTTGGTATGAACTAAACCAAGTTACTTTACTCATGAGCCCACCCTAGGCCTGCATGGGACCTCAGGTGCACAGGCCCTCAGGTGGCTGCTCTTTCCACCAGTGTCATCCTCAGCTCTCTGCTCTCAGCCCCTCCGCATCCAGTGCAAAGATCCTTTCCACCGGCTGGCCATGAAGGGGCCATTGTAATGATCTAGGCCATTTTGTTTGTTATTTTTATTAAACCCCACATGAAAACCTTTTATTTTTGGTTAAGACCATGCTGTATTTTGGCTTTTACTGAAGAGACTATGTGTATGGGGAAAATCAACTGTTTTTTCCTCTACACTCTCATGAACACTTCTCTAACCAGATGTGCGGGTTTCCCCCACTTCAGTCAGTTCTCCTGACATGAGTCAGGGGACTTACAGTTCCGTTCTGTTCTGACACAGCCTGGAGTTAGTCAGCTCCCACAAGTTAAGGGCTCAGTCCCACAGTACTTATCTATATTTCATATGCAAATGAAAGCCTCCATGGTCACCTGTGCTTCTGACCAGCAGCCTCAAGTAGGAGGTTGCCCCAATACTAATTTATTATGACAGATCACAGAACTAAGGAAAACACATTTCTATAGTTTACTGTGAAGCATGTGAGAGAATGAGATGAACAGCCACATGAAGAGGTACACAGGACGAGATCTGGAAGGGTCTTCAGGCAGGAGCTTCTGTCCCTCTGGGTTGGGGTGCGCCACTCCCAGCACATGGACGTATTCACCACCTAGAAGTTCTCCAGACCCCACAGTTCAGGGACTTAAGCTTTGTCACATAGACACGATTGATTATTGATTGATTATTAACATCTCCAGCTCTTCTCTCCCAGAAGATGATGGATGGGGCTATAAGCTTTAAGCCTCTGGTTGTGGCTTGGTCTTTCTGGTGCCCAGTCCCTGTTCTGGAGCCCACTAGGAGTTGCCTAATTAGAACAAAAATGTTCCTGTTACTCAGGAAATTCCAAGGGATTAGGAGCTTTGTGTCAGAAACTAGGGTCAAAGACCAAGCAAAAGATGTACCTCCCAGCCCTATTCCTCAGAAAATTATAAGGATTTTTTTTGAAAGAGCCCTGTGCCAGGATCTAGGGACCAAGACCAAAATCAATATCCCATTATTTTATACTATATGGTTCATTTCATTTCAAAAAAGGTATTTTTTTAATTAATTTATTTTTTTCTCTCTTTCCAATGCCTAATATTTGGTGCTTTTTTCTCTATTTTTTTTCTTTCCATTGCGTAAACCTAGTGGTGCTTAGGACAATGAGAATAGGCTCATGGAACATGGACATAATGACTTTGAGAAACAGGAAGTAATATAAGGGACCTAATAATAAGGTCTAAGCAATAATCGTTTCACCATGGTTGACAGTGGTCAGACCCATCTTGAAAGGGCATTTCTAAATTTTTATTTTTAACTTTCTTAAGAGACACAGTTGAAGCAAAAATAAGAATGCAGAAATAATAAGAGAAGTCTGTTTGGGGTTTTCTCACCCTAAAGAAAGAATGGCAAAACTCAGGAGCTTGTAATGATGATGATTGTGGTAGTCAGTCATCCATTACTGTAGCAAATTACCTGAGATAATCAATTAAAATGGAAGAAAGGCTTATTTTGCCTCCTGATTTTGGAGGCTTCAGTTTGTGGTCATTTGGCCTTATTGCTTGGGCCTGTGGTGAGGCAGCACATCCTGGCAGGAGCATGTGGCAGAGGAAGGTGCTCACCACTTTGCAGGTGGGAAACAGAAGAAGAGACTGGCATCCCACATTCCCCTTTTAGGCATGCCTCCAGTGACCTCCAATATCCCACAAGGCCACACCTCTTAAAGGTCCAACCACCTTCATAGCGCCAAGCTGGGGACCAAGCCTTTAACACAAGGACTTTGGGGGACGTTCCAGATCCAAACTATGACATTAATGAAAATGATGGTTACAGATGGTAATAGTGAGGATAATAACAGTTATGGAGTAGGGACTGTTTGTTTGAATAAGTCCTTTTTTGTTCACAGAAGAATTAGATTGGGAGAATGACTTATCCAATTCAATACTTTCCTAAACAACTTTTCTAGGCTTTTGAGTAAAAGTGGTCCCATTACAAAGCAAATCTGCCACAGTCTAGCTGGGCAAAATAACCGGGAGGTGACAAGCAACTTGAAGGTTGAAGCGGGAACTGCTTTATTGCAGAACAGCAGAGGTATATACCTAACTGATTACACACAGCTTGACTCAATTAGCATCATCTAGATACAGCAGTCAGCCAATAAGGAATCCCCACCATCTTAATGGCTCGGTGGCTTTGCCTCACAAACCACTCCTCCTGGCAAACTGCCAGGCGCCATCTTGACTTGGTTGTGGCCTCCAACACAAATCGACAGGCAGGCAGTGGTCCTCATTCTGTTGACCCAGCTGTCAGAGCTAGTAGAAGGAATTTTAATTGAATAATGCTCTTGACATCTAGCTTCCTTAGGAATTTGACTTCAGAGGGACATCTGAATGTCACGACTACAGTTTCAAAATAGCTGCAAGTGGCTTTTAAAACCTAGTTGTCCCGTATTGGCTAATTCTCCCCTGCCAAGCCCAGCAAAGCTGAAGTGGCTTGTGGTTCTGGCTGATGCTGCAGTGCCTCATCTTCTTTATCAGTCATTAGTTTCTTCCTTCTTAAAGTAATCGTTCACAATTATAAAGACAGGAGACAAACACTTCTGACCTCACTGGATTTGTGGAAAGAAATTCCTTTATGTGAAACCAAATGTCTTTGATTCACTGGTCCCCATTTCTTCCATTCTTTTACCCTGTACCCAGTCCTGATCGTGGCCGACTCTGGCTCATTTAAACCCTGACTCCCATTTTCCCTTAGAATTTCTTTTATAAATTGGAGCTGAGGGATCATTGAAATTGTATTAGAGGCGGTTTCTCTTCTGGACAGTTTGCTGCTTTTTAAAATATTGATTCTGGTCTGGAGGTGTAGCTCAGTGGTAGAACATATGCTTAACATGCACAGGGCTCTGACTTCAATTCCCAACACCAAAATAAAATACTAATTTTTATTAAATATGTGTTCAAAACTTGAGACAAGCTTTTTGAGAGCAGAACTTGTTTATAAATCAGTCTGTCTGCAGCAGCAGTCTTTTGTTAAACAAGTTACTATTGTCTGAGCCTTTCCCTCTTGCTGGCATACTGCTGGTGAGAGTGGGGGAATGGGAGGGGCGGGGACAGGTGGGCAAATTCCTTGTCCCTTGGAACTCAGAGTCTACAAGTAGGCACATTTAAAGGAATAACTTGTTGTCTGTTGAACCCTAAGACACTATTGATGACTTTTAAAATTTTTATCATGGAAGGCTGTAAACATGGAAGAGTAGAAATTCCCATTTACCCATCATCCAGCTTGAACATTGCCCAATCTTGTTTCAGCCCCCCATTCTGGATTATTTTGAAACAGTTCTCAGATATTAAGTTGAAAATATATGGACTCTTTTTTTTTTTAAACATAAGCACTTCATAGTCAATATATGTATTCAGGGTTCACATTTTTCCAGTTGCCAGATATAAATGTCTTTTACAACTGATTTGTTCCGAGTAGGACCTTGACAAGGTCCACACAGTGAATTTGATGTGTCTCTTAAATCCTTTTTGATCAGTAGATTCTTTGACACATTTTGTTTTTCCTTAAGGTATATTTTGTTGAATAAACCAAATTGTTTACCTCACAGAGTTTCTCACATCTGGATTTTGCAACTTGCATTTCCAGGATATCCCAAGTGTGTCTCCCTGATCCCTGCATTTCCTACACACCAAAAATTGAGTGTAGAGGCCCGGAGGGTTCCAGACTCCAGTCCAGTTCTTATGGTAGACCGCCTCATAGGTGTCAGGGGGCACAGGATGTCTGCTGTTCTGTCCTGATAAGGTTAAGATCAATCATGGGTTCAGGAGGTCAGCATCTATTCTAAGATGAACCATAAATTATAGGTATGGCTTTTGGAAGGGGAATAAAGAAGCCTTATATCTAAAGAACCATACATTTTAATACATTGAATATGCATCCTGATTCTCAAAATAATACAGTGTGAATAGGGCACACCATGGGATCCAGGAAGCACGATGCTCCCACGAGGTTGCAGCACTGTAAAGGAAAAGGAGTGGGAGCTATTAACACTTAGAGCAGTGACCTGTCATGCCAGGGATGTCAGGGAGACCATGCCAAGCACTAATGTTCAAGCTGGCCCCTAAAGGGTAAGTGGGAGTAGCCAGACACAAGGACGGGCATTACTCAGCAAGACAGCCCCTGTGGAGGCCCTGACTGGGCAGCTGGGTCAGTCAGGGGCTGAGGAGTGTGGGAATCCAGAAGTAGAGAGCCGTGCCTCAGGCTGGGAGGCTGCCAGGACCAGACTGGCTGCAATTTAGAATTTGGATGTCATTCTAAATGCCATTCAGAGCAATTACGTGATCTGTGCTGATATTTTGGAGGTTCAGTCAATACCCTGACCTGTAGTTGAGTTTGGAGACAGAAGAAAGAGTTCAGTATATCAGCTGATTTTTTTCCTGTAAATGCTAAGTGGAGCAGATGGCTGTAGACCTGGACCACGTGGGCTTGCTAATACTCCCACCCACAGATTAAGCAGGCCTATCCTCCCCTGGCCCTTTGGACAATTGTAAGCTTCTTCCACAAGGCAGGACCTGTCCCACAAGATTTCTGCATGGTTGAGGGAGCAGACAAGATCCTGTGCTGCCAGAAGGCAAATAATTTCCAAAGAGGACTTGGAATCTTTTCTTCTTTAAAGAAACCATTTCCTCCAAAGGGAGAACAGGACTGGAAGGCTGCAGTATGCATTAGTGAGATCTGTCTAGACTCAGAAGGATGTCTTATCCAACCACCGACTTCCCTGACACACACACGTAGGTGTGCTCACATGTACACACGTGCACTTTACTACATGCACATAGTATACATAGTTATGCGATTGATATGATTTATGATATTCAATATCATTTTATTTATAAAGAACTGGCTATAGGAAGCACAGGTGGACATAGGGTGACCAGTTAAACATCTTTCTAATCTTGAGTTGGAGGTGAGTGAAAGTGTGTGGAGGTGGGGACCCAGGTACTTATTATACTATCATATATACGTTTTATACACTTGAAATATTTCACAAACTTAGAAAACTACTGAAGAAGTCTGAGCAAGAAATATTAGTAACAATGAGATAGGTCAAGGGAAGAAAGTTGAAAAGGTGAAATGAATGGGACTTGGTATTTGGTTACATGTTGGGCAAGCAAGGGAGGAGGGGTGGGGTCACCAAGATCAGCCTGAGACAGTTTGCAAGGTAAGCTCAATTTGTCTTTAGTCACACACACACCTAGACACTTGGCCTCTTTCCAGGCCCTGGCTCTGGGCTGTCCTCAGTTAGAGCCTGTTCATCCTGATTGTCATGCTTATACCTGCTCGGGGCTCCTGCAGCACTATAGCCAGCCTTCTGTGTCTGTGGGTCAACATCCATGGATTCAACCAACTGCAGATCAGAAGTATTCAGAGAAAATTATTGTTCTTTTCTTGGCATTATTACCTAAGCAGCACAGTGTAACAACTATTTTCATGGCATTACATCATTTTAGGTACTTGTAGTAATTTACAGATGATTTAAAGAATATGAGAAGATCTGTGTAGATTACATGCAAATTCTGAACCATTTTACATGAGGAACTTGAGCATCCTTGAATTTTTATATCCCTGGGAAATATTAGGTCAAGGCTCTCATAATCCAATCATTTTGTCTCTAAACTTTCTTGCATTGTCTCACACATGAGCTTCAGGAGATATCTAATATTGAAACCCTATTAATAGTTAATAGGAATTTTTCCAGTTGACTGATAATAAGTCACAGGCAATAGCTTTCACTATTTTCTATTAGATTAATATGGAAAGAAAGGGTATGAAATAGGTTCCCAAGAAATGTTATATTGTCCTTTAGTTGTCATAAATATATAATATGTTCAAAACAAAAAGATGCTAAGATGAAACCAAAATTCTTACAAGTATAAGAATTTTTTAATATTTAGATTATATAGTATCTGATAGTTTTGAGCTGGGGTTTATTCTGTCCTCTTCCCATTTCTAAAGTTTAGTTCTAAACATTTAAGGCTTTACATTTTCCTCAAAATCCTATCTAACTATATCCTTTCAGTTTTGATATGCAGTATTTTTTATTATCATTGGTATTCAATTTTTTAAAGAAATTCTATTATGATTTCTTCAATCTGTGATTTTTTAGAAATGTGTTTTAAATTTCTAAATCTATTGGAATCCTTTAATTACCATTTCCATTACTGGCTTTAACTTAGTTGCTCTGACCTCAGATGATGTGATCTATGCAATGCTACTTTTTTAAGATGTGTTAAGCCTTTGAAAAATTATTTTGCTTCCCATTTTAACCCAGCATTTGCAATTCAGAGTAAAGCAGGTCTCATTTAAGCTCTAGGACTTGTTGATTTACCCAAGAATCTTGTTGTTAAAACTTTTCTATTAATGGATCAGCACCTACATTATTTGTCAGGGTCAGTTCTTACTCACTGTCTGAACCCAGAAAGCCTATAGGTTCTGGAGTTCCATTGATCGTTTCCCTTCATGTTCAACAGGAGTATGCTGTGAACTGCCACGTGATTACCTGGGAGAGGATTGTTAGCCATTTTGATATATTTGCATTTGGGCATTTTTGGGGTTGGGCCATGAAGGCCTTGTTGATCCGAAGTTATGGTCTCTGCTGGACTATCAGTATTACCTGGGAGCTAACTGAGGTAAGAAGTGGGGGTGGGGGTTCCCAGGACGAAACATTGTGTACACTTTATGTGTAGGAAGAAAAAGGTTGTCAGGTAGCAGTCAATCCATTCTCCAGCCCCCATCGTGGAATGTGTTTACACCATCCCATGAGACTCTTTTAGATCTTTGTTTAAAAAAACAAAAACTAAACAAAAGCCACCTTGTTCACTTAATTAAATGTATTTCTATCCCACCAGTCTTAAAGAGAAACAAATGAAATCAAGCGAAAGAATAAAGTGAAATTCCCAAGTGAGACACATAAATGGTAATGAGGGAAATCTGCTTAGAAGTAAACAGGTTGGTTAACCCACTCAGCTGTTTTCCAGTCTGAGACAAAAAGGTGTTCAGAAATGTCAAGGGCATCCAAAGGGGTTTTATAGCTGAAAAATGAATTTCCAATAGAGTTATTTGTCTCATTTAATTAATGAAAGAGATATACTCTTTAAAAACTATTAGTAAAATTGGGGTAACTAATTCATTATTGCTCAATTCTACATTATTATTCATCATTCCCAGAGAACAGAATTTGACCACGTGCACAGTGTATTCCTCAATGCCTGTCGTTGACCCGATCCCAACCTAGAGAAGTGTGCCAGTTAGATATGACTTCTATTACTGTAACTCTCACATCTTTGGAGACTTGGAAGTCTGAAGTCAAGGTATGGGCAGGGTTGGTTTCTTCTGAGGACTGTTGTGGAGAATCTTCTGAGGCCTATCCCACCCTCTCGCAGTTTGCTCTCCATCTTCAACATTCCTTGACTTGTAGATGCACCCTGTCTTCCTAATCAGGTGGCATTTCCCCTGTGTCTCCAAGCCTGCCTTCTTATTCTTTTTATAAGGACACCAGTTATAATGGATTGGGGGGCTCACTCCAGTCCAGTTCAACCTCATCTTAACTACATGAGCAACAGCTTCTTTTCCAAATAAATTCACCTTCTGAAGAGTTGGCATTTAGGGCTTCAGTGTAGAGATTTTCAGGGAACATAATTCAGATCATCATGACTGTGCCCAACACCTTATATGTCACCGTGAATCCTCAGGATGGACAGGGAAAGGCAGTGGCTATCTATCCACTCCCATTGTATGGAGAAGGATCCGGAGTTCTGAGCCTCACTTCCTTGGTTGAGCCAGGATACATTCCATAACCATGTTCCCGTCTTTGCCTCAGAATGCAGTCATCTTCCTAACCCAACTGCCCGGCTTTGTGTAAGGCACCAGGGTTTACCAGCTCCCTTTTCCCCTCTCACTAGCTCTCTTGACTTCTATCTTTCTTTCCTGCTCCCCAATGTCCTATGGTGCTCAGGTCCTGTGACTCTTTCTTAAACATTTCTACAGTCCAAAGGAGTCTTCTCATCCCTCTGCTCCCGCTCCTGTCTGATCGACCATGTCTCTTGTCTGAAGTGCTCGTCTTCGCACTACTTATTGCCAAATAAGTCCTTTTCAGCCCTCCACCAGATCAAGACCCCTCCTCCTAAGACCTTTTTATTGTTTGTCCCTTGCTCTTAAAATAGAATCCAGACTTCTGAGCCAGGCAGAGAGGCCCAGAGGGGACCTAACCACTGCCTCCCAGCCCAGCCCCAGTGAGCCTCTCTTTCCCTCAACCTCTGTGCTCCTCCATTTCAAAAGTCATTTGCTTTTTCCCACTAGAGCCCTTCACTTATCCTCACCACCTCTCGGTCCCCTCACCTCCTAGTCTCCTGATGCCAGGGCTCAGCTCCTAAAGAAAAATTTCCCTGCTCCTCCACTATCTGTGCTCCATTTAGATACATGGTAGGTGTGTCTTTAGCCTCCAGGGGGCAAGGCTCATGTCTCTGTCTTCCCAGACCCAGGGACTCTGCCTTACACATGGCTGGTGCATGATATTTCCATAGTGAATGAATGAAGGTGACAGCCAGCTCCTCAGACTCAGCCCCTTGGGGCCCATCTTGCCCCAGAATCTGGTACCTTCCAGAAAGCCCCTATGCTAAAGGTGTTCTCCACCATTACTTCTGTGCATAGTTTTATTCCAGCAAACACGCTGCCAGCTTCTGCCGTTTCTCTCTTCCTTATCCAAAGGCCAGTGTTCAAGTTCCACCTTGCACTTGAACCTGGGAATACACTTCAGGGGTAGTGTGAAGCCCACCAGGGTAAGAATGCAGTGATAAGCCATCACATGTAATGGCTGTCTTGTAGCTTCTCAGTGACAGATGCATCAAAAAGAAAAAGAAAAACTTCTCATGTCTGTATATTGTTTGTCGCTTACAAAATACTCTGTGGAAACTTTTAACTTTGCACTATTTATTCTATTACTCCAGAGGTTTGCGATGGCATGGAGTGTCTTTCCAGAGACTCTCTGGCCTGGGCTTTGTGATTTCACCTTCCTTCTTAGGTTGGGCCTTCACACAGCAGGGCATGCTGCTCTGGGCACAGCTAATCCACCCTTTATTTTAAATGAAACGGTTTCTAAGGAGACTTTTGTTCACCTTTTGAACACCCTTTACTACTCACCCCATCTGGACCATCTCCATCTCCATCTGCACCTCTTGAAATCAGTCATTCATGTACTGATGTTGTGACTCCAATATGTCTCCCTTCCAGAAGGCTTCCCCAGTTGCCCTCAGTCAGAGTGGATCTGCCGTGTTCCCACTGCGTTCCATTCACATCAGCTTTATAACACTTACCTCAGTCTACCTCCCTTTGTGGTCTGGAAATCTGGATGCACATCTCACCCCTCCCCTGAGAGCAGATGCTGTGGCTTACTTTGTCTCGCCACTGTGCACATGATGGGTGCCTAAAAAGGACTGTCATCACTGGGAGTTGGTCAGTGTGGGATGGTCTGGAGAGCTGTCAGTTCCCTGCATTATGTCGTCGAGATCTCATCTTTTAGCATTTGTAATTTTTCCCTCTGATTTATCTATACACCTATGGAATATTTCTGAAATTCACAGCTTGAATTCTAAAGCTGCTAATTTTGAGAACTGTACCAGCACTTTGTTGTCAGATATGAAAACTGTCTTCTTCCCTTCTCAGATCCTYGTTGTGTTGTCATCAGCCAAGGTAATTCATTGGTAATCTATTTTTAAAGAGGTGCCATTGTGTCTTTTAAAGCCCAATGTTTTAAAAAAGAGAGCTATTTGATAAATGTTGTTTGTAAACCATGTGCAATATAAAAAGCAAGAACCAGATTACAGACTGGTTATGGTGGTTTTCTCATTGTTAAGAAAAAATGCAATGACATTTTCTGAAACGATGCATTGTTAAGAGGAAATGTATCATTCTGCATGGCACCCCAGTTTTGGCTTTTTTCCCAACCTTCATCTCTTGTGTTCCTCAGCTTTTCTTCATGCATCTTCTGCCCAATTTTGCCGAGTGCTGGTGGGACCAAGTCATTCTGGACATCCTGTTGTGCAATGGAGGCGGCATCTGGCTGGGCATGGTGGTTTGCCGGTTTTTAGAGATGAGGACTTACCACTGGGCAAGCTTCAAGTGAGTCCTTCTTTTTGGATGTTAGTCACAGTGTTGTAATCTGTGTTTAATTGCTTTACAAGGAGTCATGTTTAGTGTCATCCTTGATGCCAAGGAATAAAATTTCATATCAGCAATTAAAACTCAAAATGATTATAAACCTGATTTCAAGCATCTGTCCAGAAAATGGTATCATTTACAATTTTCTCTTTTTCACTTTCTGTATTTAGAGGGTCCTAGCAGCCTCTAGATTCAAAGTGCTTCTTAAATCCATCTCTTCCTGCAGATCCCTACTGCCTCAGCCTGTAGTCTGATTCCCATCCCTACCTTAGTTGGTCCCCTGTCCCTGACAAAAACCCTGCTCACACCATTGCTTGAGTGGACTACTTCAGAATGTCAGGTTTATTGGGTCGGGACCCTATGGTGACTTCTCATGATCTTTAAGGACAAATTGTGCCTCATGGGCTGGGAGGGGAGGACCCTTCTCCATGCCTTCTCCAGCACCTGATTGCTCTGTGGCCAAAACACATTCCTTCCTCTGTACCTTTGACCCATATTCCCTAGGTCCAGGCTGCTTGTGTCCTTTTCTTTGGTGACTCAGCTCACTTGCCACCCCTTCCGGAAGCTGTCCCTGATTCTAGTGTTAAGCTGTATGCCCCTCTTCTGTGCTTCCGGGGAGGGCAGGGCATGCCACCACCCTTACTTTATTCTGCTTAGTGCAACTGGCTTCTCAGTTTATGGCAGGCACCATGCCATTGATGAGGAAGAAAGAACTGTGGTGGTGATAAGGAAAGTAGTTGTTTTCATTGTGTTTAGAATTTTGTTTATTTTCATATCATTCAGTATTCTTCAAAGCATGATTTTAAAGGGATTCTTCATATCCTGTCAGACAGAATAATCATAAAGTATTAGCCAGTTCCCTTTCCTAGTCCCTTAGTTGTTTCAAGGTTTTTGCTTTCATAAAGGCAAGAGTGAACATTCTTAGGCATATTTTTGTGTGTATCTCTGATTTTCTTATATGAATCAATTCATACTGTCACCTATTGTGTATGTGTATATTATATACACACAAACACACACACATATATTCACTGTTTTCTTCAAATTTATTTTAAACCTATGCCAATTTTGCCCCCCATAAAATTGTAGGATAATGGATTTCCAGGTTTTTTTGTTTTCTCTTTTATTGGTGCTTCTTATGGTTGAAGGATATTAACACTGTGTTGTAACTGTGACTTTATTTTCCATTTTGTTATCCCCTTTATGATCTAGTGTATCATGGATTTTTTATTTAATGTCAAAAAATTTTTTCATCTTTTTGTTCATGTAATGTTAACCCTTATTTTCTTCTAGTTTCTTAATGGTTGTCTTTTTCTTATTATAAGGAATTTACAAAATCTCATTACAAAATCTCATTTCATATTTATTTCATGTTTTAGCCTTGGACTAACCAGTTTTCCTGTCTCTTTTAGTAATCGTTCTCTCTTTGGCCACTGATTTTGACTGGACATTTTAAGGTTGGAAGGCARTAAATAATGTGACAACATAGTTGCTGGGCTAGATGTTGCTGTAGGCAAACTGTATAAGCAGTGTCTCTGCTGAGCCTTCCATCAGGGTAGTCACTGTTATTCTCTTCATTTTAGAGGGGGCGATACTGTGGCTGGTATTTAGTGATTTGCTAAAGGACACACAGCTAGAAACAGTGGAGTCTGGATTTGTATCAGACAGATTCTTTAAACACAGCCACCTGGCTTTCCTGTTTTTATACATTTATGCTTCAAATTCAACTCTAGAATTATTTTGCCAAGAAGCCAAAATTTATAAATCCAACTATTAAAAAAAAGAAAATTCAGAGTTTTCTTATAAAACATTTAATGTATAAATGAATGTAGGTTAATTTAAATTGAATGAACCTCTTCACTACATTAAATATTCTGCTTCTGGATTCTGCAGTATCTCTGTCCTTTCTTTTAGGTTTTTCCATGCACTCTCACCCTTTTTAAAATATACATCCTCCACAGTTCTTGTTAGTTTGGAGGCAGTCTCTGTTTTTGTTGCTTTTGTSCTGCGAACCTTATGCTGTGATATTTTTCCCAGTATGACCTTGATGATAAGTGGATGGGTAAAGGGACAGACTTGGTGTCCTCCACTTTCCCCTGTCCCCTTCCCCCCAGGAAAAAAGACCTGAGTTGTTGATACTTGTGCCTTTTGCACTTAGCACAGTGTCTGAGTCAGAAAGGTCCTTGATGTCAATATTTGTTGAACTAAAGGTTCTCTTCCAGGCATTAGATGATATTTGCCTTGGATTTTGGCTCTCCTGTACTAGTCTGGAATCTACATCATTCTGATGTTTATAAGGTCAACTTACATCAGCCAGCTTCTCTATCTCTCTCTGGCAGCCTAAATGTTCTTATTTGTAAAATGTGGGGACTATTTTTATCGTGGGCCTGTGCAACTTTTAATTGAATGACTTCTAGAGTTAAAACTAAGAAACGTTAAGTACCCTGTTCAACAACCCAAACAGTTCACATCTCTTGAGAAGAAATAGGGTAAAGAAATGATGTGGGCGGTCTCAAGACTATGAGAGTCATAYATGTCATTGTATCAAAACATACCCCAGGGAGACAAAACGGTGGCAGGAATGGTGTCCTTGCCAGCATCCCAGTTCTCCCTGGGCTGGTTCCAGATTATTGTCTTTAACAACTCTTTGCTTCTTTGGTCACACTTTATGAATTAAGACCTCTCCTAACTCCACAGTACCCTGACCACAGCCACAGTTGCCGTGCCATGCCCTTCCTGTCATTGCTGAAATTCCCCATCCAGTGTGCTTTGGTCACCTGCCCCACCTGTGAACAGACAGACCTTTGTCTGAGGCTATTCAAGTAGAAAGGAGTCTTTCAATTCTGGCATTTGCTGTAAAATCATCAATGCAGTTTTTCTCTTGGTGTTTGTCCTCTCCCTGCCCCGCCCCCTTTTCTTTCCTCTTTGAATTTTCACTTGAATTTTCTCTTTTTACAGGGACATCCATACCACCACCGGGAAGATCAAACGAGCTGTGCTGCAGTTCACCCCTGCTAGCTGGACCTACGTCAGATGGTTTGACCCCAAATCTTCTTTTCAGAGAGTGGCTGGAATATACCTTTTCATGATCATCTGGCAGGTATTTTTTTTTAGATGCCCGTAACTAGGGAACAAAGATTAACCTTCTAGGAATTTAGAAGTGATATTAATTTACATTGCATATGAGCTAGAAAATTTAAAAAAGATGATGTTCGCAGCTAGCATGTAGAATAATTAACCAGCATGATGTCGTCATTTCTAAAGTCTTGCTTGGTTCTGAAGACATTTTAAAGTCTTTGAAACAGATTAATTCCCTGAAAAAGGTCACATTTGGCATCCATCACCCAATGAATTAGGTATCAGATTGCTTTTTAGAATACGATAATTTTCAGTATCAAAGGAACAAATGAGAAGGCTCTTCTCACATCCCTAATTCATGAGTGATATTCAAAATTGTTCCTTGGTTGTTCCCACTTTGGACAATGTGTAGGGAGCTGAATTAGCTTTCTGCTGCCTGTGGGGGCTCTTTTAATGGTAAGTCTTCCAGAGTAATGTCCCCAGTGGTGAGAAACTATTGTTCCCAGTGCATTGTTATTAATATAATGGAAGTAATCCAGATAACCAGAGATCTTGACAAAGGATTCTCAGACATCTCTGATTTCTAGGGATAGCCTCTTTATTGAGCCTCCTGTCCCTAGGTGGTTTCTCAACTTTTGGAGACTCATCAAGGGAAACCAGCTTTTGCCTGAAAGACCTTTCAGCATCAGCAGAAATTATATTTTGGACATATAAGCACAACATACTCCCAATGAAAAGAAACTATTAGTAGAATCACTTTTAAGGCAATCTTCCTTCTTCATACCTAGGAAATAGCAGTGCCCATCTCAATATATGGAGTTTATGTGCACAGAAGTATAATGAATGGTTTAATAACCACCATGGTTTGGAGAAGTCAATATAGAGAGCCCTCCGTATTCGTAGGTTCCGCATCTGTAGATCCAACCAACTGCAGAGGGAAAATATTTGGGAAAAAAAACATGTTTATACTGAACATGTACAGAAGTTTTTTCTTGTCACTGTTCCCTAAACAATAATGATTTATATTGCATTTACACTGTATGAGTTATTTTAAGTAACCTAGAGATGATTTAAAGTATATGGGAGGATGAGCATACCTTATATGTTAAATAGCAGGTTTCCATATTCATGGGTGTCCAGAACCAATCCCCCATGGATACGGAGGGATACCTCTATAAAAAATGTGACTGTAAGATGCATAGGGATTAAGCTTTGCTTTATCAGGGAAAATGTAACAGAAGGTTGAATTTAAAAAAGGGCGATTGGATTTGTGAGGGAGAGAGAGAGAGAGTGTAGTTCTAGAATGGAGTACCCTGGCAGCATTCCATGGGGCACACCTTCCCCAGGGCTGTGAGCCCTGTGTTACCATCAGTTCCCCATATATGATGTGATTTATTATGCTATTTTTAGTTTATATCCTCAAAGTCAGTGCTATGGGAAAACAGCATGTGTTTTATGTAATTGAAAAGCACCTGCCAGTCCATATGATGTGACCACAAAGCACAGTGACCTTTCTGTGGTCTCTGCCCTTTGTTTGAGATCTGGAACTCAGCTCTGGAAGGAGAATAACCACATCTCAGCCACAATCTTCTGAGCTGCTGCCAAGCGCTCATCATGGTGCACTGCACTAAGATGCTGACCCTAGGAAAAGTACCCCTGCCCCGGGTGAAACTTGGACGACCTGCCACACCCTGTGGTCAAGGATTTCCCCCATCCCAGGCATGTGCTCCCTGAGCACACAGTTGTCTCTCCGTACAAGCTTTCTTATCTAYAGCTGGACTTGCTTTAGACTTGGCCTGGTTTCTGTAAGGCCATGCAAGTATTCCACACACCTGTATCATGTTTTCTGCTGTGTTTAAAGCATTTTTCTCCTACTGTTCCAATAGGTCACACACATGAACCAAGTGACAACCATGCAAAGTAGGAAACACGACAAAGAGCTATTGCCTTGAGCCCTCATGTGCCCCACCCCCACCCTCAGGCCCCCAGTTGGTCAGTGGTCCTGTTGTCCTGGTGGTTTCTGGTTTGAACAGCAACCCCAGGGAGACCCCACACATTTTCTGAAAATGCTTTGAATATACCACTTATTTTTATCTGTAGAATGTCTGTTTAAGGAATATATGCTTATAACTTAGCATGACATACCAGGGTGACAAATCTCACCTCCTTTTTTTCAGCTGACTGAGTTGAATACCTTTTTCTTGAAGCACATCTTTGTGTTCCAAGCCAGCCATCCATTAAGTTGGTGTAGAATTCTCTTCATCGGCTGCATCACGGCTCCCACAGTGAGGTAATTGTGTTTAGCCCGACTGTCATTTGAGGACATTAACCTGCTTTAAGTTCTYCTGTCTGGCATCAGGGAAGTCACACCAACTAGCAGATTCCCCATGAAAATACTGTTCAGATGACTTACACATCCAGAATCCAGAATATGAAGAAAATGTTTTGTTCTCAAATCTCAGCATGTTATTGGGGATTTAAAAAAAAAACAAAAAAAAAAAAATAGTGAATAATCCATGCCACACTAGTAGTTCTATTCATTATTTTTAAATCCCTTTACTATCTTTCACTGATACTCTTCTTTTATCCTTTCATGACCTATTTTTCAAAAATTGGTAGTAGTGACGGGTTTCTTAAAATGAAATTAATGGAAAGTATAAAATTTTTTATGATAGAAGTCAGAAATGACATTATTTTTATAATGAGACTTTATTAGCTTTTTTAGGCTCTGTTAAACTAAATTCCTTTTGGAAAATGGGCTTTTTATCGTCATCCAGGACAGCTGTGGGCATGCTGTTATTCTCCTGCCTTCATGTAGGGCCCTGGAAAGAGAGGTATTATTCAGAGACTGTTCTTTCCTGATGCTGACTCAGCAAAGTTCAAAGCAAAACATTTTCATTTTTGTTTTATTTTTCCTACTTAGAAATGGCATTTGGGTTTTGTAACCAATATGGAGTATAGGCCTTGATCAGTAGCAGCACCAAAGATCTTCCAGAGATACAGCTATAAATTAAGCAGTTAAAAGATCCAGAGGGCTAGGATATAGCTCAGTTGGTAGAGTGCTTGCCTAACATGCAGAAGGTCCTGGATTCAGTCCTCAGCACCAAAAAAAAAAAAAAAAAAAAACCAGCATAGCAGAAAGTGTAGAATTGCTTAGTTTATCGTTTTTATGTATGGGTAAACCACATAAGTAGAGGGGTTTACTTGCCAAGAAGAATAGATTTTCACTTTGGTCAAAGAGACCCCCAGCCAGTACCTCTTCATTATCTTAAAAAAAAAAAAAAAAAAAAAATCCTGGACCGAACAAACCAAATAAGACACTTCTGAGTCTTGTATAATTAAAACCAAAAATTCCATCTCTCTCTCTTTTGTTAACGAAACAGATAGCAAAGTAACAGTTGGTAAGCCAGCAGCCCTTGGAAACCTTATAGGCCAGTGGCTATTGAAGCCCTTATCTCATAGATGTTGTTTTCCCTGGATGGTTTGGAGTCTTCCTTCCTCATTTAAATGTAATTTAATTTGAGGCTTCTCAATTCTTTTCAGGAAAGATTTAGAGCAATTATTATATAAAATTTGGAACAATCAGCAAAGTCAATAAGAGGGGATGGAAATCTCTTAACAAAATAGCAAGTTGCAACTGTGTTACTATGAAATCTCAGTATTGTTAAATATTCTATAAGAAAATCTAGAATCTAAAAATTCAATGCTTTGAACTTGTTAAGAGTTCCCTCTAATTTTTTGCCAGATCCTATGAATTTCTATATAGTTCTTTTTTTGCCTAAAAATGAGCCACTTTCTGTTTAAGGTAGTTCTCATGGAACTAAATGCTTTGATGAGTTCCTTGAACAATGTCTAATGAATTTTAACCCAGAACCTATTTAGCAAATGCCAGACCCTCACAGGAAAGAGAGCTTACAGATTCAGGATAAATCATATACACCATTTTCTTCCTTTTTGATTAAACTGTCACACAAATATGCTCTGAGAAGATACTGAGTGAACATTATTTTATTTGATAACATAAGGTGCAATATAAGGGTACAATCAGAACAATCAGCTGAACCCCAAAATGGAAATTAGGTAATGAAAACGTGTCAAGTAAGAAGATAATCTGCATTCTTCATGACAAGGATCCTTCCCTTGGGTCTTTGGGGTAAAGAGGCATTAGCCCACAGTGTAATGCAGAAGGTTATGTGCATGTTTATGTGCACTTATTATGAAGCTTTCATCAAATCTTCAAAAGCGTGTTACCCCAAAAAGATTATGAGCTTGTGGTTCAGATGCTACCTCTGAAGGGGTGGATGATTTGGGGATACTTAGGAGAATCCAAGCCGCACTGTGCTATTTGACAGCCAGCCACTCAACACGTGTGCCTGTTGAGCACTAGAAATGTGGCTAGAAATTCCCCAGTGAATTGTGCCACGTACATAAACTACACACCAGATTTCAGAGTTAATACAAAAGCAATATAAAACACCTCATTATAATATTTTAATATCAGTTTATATATTGGTTTCAGTGACATAATTTAAATGAATTTTATCTGTCCTCTTTACTCTTTTTAACATGGCAACTGGCAAATTTAAAATGTCATTAGTGGCTCATATTCTAGTTGTGTTACCATGCTGCTCTGAGTATTTCAATTCCTTTTTCTGATCTCATCAGCAGTATTGAAAGTCACTGGCATTCAGTGACAGATGCAGCTGGGATCCCATAAGTTTCTGAGAGCCCAAAATGTGAATGTTTCTTGCTCGATTATCATCAAAATATCAAAAGGTTATCAAAGCAACCTTTGTCCTAGGAGTGCCAGAGGAGGTGACAAATGAACCATGGAGCTGACCCTCTGGAATCACCTCCACAGAGGGAGGCTCAAGTGGCTGCTTGGGCTGCTCTGGCTCAGGGCCAAGGAAATCTTGCTGAGTCAAGACCACCATGGCCAGCAGGATGGTTCTTAAACTCTGCTCCCCTCCTCTGAATTCTCAGTCTCCTGTAAGAATGTGTTCTAGCCAGGCAGAAAGAACTAGACCAAGCAGGTGGAGCACGGGGGTAAGGTGTGGGACCTTCTTTACATTCACTGTCAAAATGATTTTAATTAGGAATTTCCAGAAGCTCTCAATGAATTCCAACTTTGTTCTTTCAGACAGTACTATGCTTACCTCACGGACACACAGTGCAAGCGCGTAGGAACGCAGTGCTGGGTGTTTGGGTGAGTATCTGTCATTGAGGAATTGTCAAAACCTTGTCAGCCCCTATATTTCAGGTGGTATTTCTTGGCCTGTGTTCAGTGCCTCCCCGTGCATTTCTCTTGAAGCCAGGTGAACAAGGTTTGCTATTTTCTTTTTTGTTTTGTTTCTTATGTGTCTTTCATTTTTGACATTTCCTTCCCTGATTTACTTGGCAAATTATCGAAAAGATGGTGTAGAAATTGCTCTCTTTTAGAAAAAAAATATTAGGAAGTCAGAGAATATTTGCCACATAGAACTCAGACCTTGTCTTATGAAATAAACTTCAAAAAGAATGGACCAGTAGAATTTCCTCAGAGAATTTCCTCTTGAGTTTGGGGCCTCCTCCTGATATGGGCCGACCTACACTTCATGTTATCTTGACAGCAGAGGACCCCTGGAGACAGCTGCTTGCTATATACCAAACTCTAATTGTATTAGTCAAAGAATTCACACAGCCACTTGGCTGTAATTTATTGTTTTATTGCATACACAAATGCTTTATCTTAATTCGCTGTTATTTAGTATGAAGGAGACTGTGGCTTATCTATTTTGAGCCCCCCTCCCATTAAACTGAGCCCCTTTTTAGTGTTTCAGGAAAGTCATTCTCTACTGAAACATTAATCATTTACCATCTCATTTAGCAACCAGAGTTCCCAAGATCCAGACTTCACATGCCTGAAGCTTTTGTGTCCCAATTGTCGGTGGTAACCCTGCTTCCAGCACTGCTCTGTTCACGGGGGATCTCCTGACCCTTGGCTTGCCAGTTACAGCACTTCCCCCCCTCCCCCGACTCAGTGTTGCTGGTGCCAAAGCCAGGCTGAGCTGAGGGTCAGCAGACCAGTACCAAGTTGGGATCCCTAGTGCCTGCTCCTCAGGAAGCCCACATGTTTATTTGCCTTTTAACCTTGCAAAACCAAGATAAGGATCCAAGCATGCACCAGACAGGGGAGGGCTCTGAATTCCAAGGACCTACAACTTGGCCCCCTTGCTCAGTCCTGGAAAAATCAGATATTTACATTTGAACTGAGTAAAGGGGCAGAGCTGTGCAGAGGGAGGCTCCACCCTAGGGCAGGAGGGGGTGAAGGTAGGTGGTATCCCAGCTGGCAGGCTAAACACAGGCTCCCTGTGCCTGGACCTCTGGCCTCAGCCCAGACTAACTGCCATTTGAGTCTTGGTATGAAAAAAATGTTAACCTTCCAGAAGGTTGTGTTGATCAGGACTCCCCCTAGTGGATGGGGGGCAGTGGCTAGTGGTTAAGGGAGTCCCTGTGCTATTGGGTTTAGTGCATCTTTGTTCCCATCACTTCTTACCACTGTGCAGATCCTGCCCTGGCCTCTCATTTGGGCTAGTACTAGAGCCTCCCTATCCGCTCTTGCCTTTTCCTAACTGCCACCAGAAGGTCATATTCAAATGTAAATCTTATTGGGTTACACCCTGTGCCCCAAACCCTTTAGGGCCCCCCAGACTAAAAGCCAAACATGAGGGTGGCCCTCAAAACCCACATTACCTGAGCCTATTTTGACCCCCTTCCCCTGCTTCTCAGCCCTGCCTGTGCCTATAGCCCGGGCCTCAGCTACAGATAATCCCATAGCTGGCCTCTCATTTCCTTCTAGTTTTGGCTCAGCTGTCACCTCCTCACAGAGATGTGTCCACAAGCACAGAACTGTTTAGCTAAGACTCCTCTACACCCAGGAGCAGATCAGACCTGCAGTGGTGGACTTGGAAGCACTAGGCTTTAAAAACACTTGAGTTGGCTATGAAGTCAGTTGAGTGGGTCCTGACCAGCATTTTAAAATGAAATAATAGAGCCTGGTGCAGTGGTGCACACCTGTAATCCCAGCAGCTTGGGAGGCTGAGACAGGAGGATCACCAGTTCAAAGCCAACCTCAACAAAAGTGAGGTGCTAAACAGCTCAGTGAGACCTTGTCTCTAAATAAAATACAAAATAGGGCTGGGATGTGGCTCAGTGGTGGAGTGCCCCTGAGTTCAATCCCCAGTACCAAAAAAGAAAGAAAGAAAAAGAAATGGAATAGAAAAATGCCAGAGTAAGATGCCAAAGGAAAGAACAACAATTCAGTTAAAGCTCTTAATTGACTTTATTTTCTATTTTAGAGTCAGGTAATACTTTGTTCTATAAAATAGAGCAGGTGTTTCAAAGAGCAAAGTAGAAGTTGATTTTACGGACAGAAAAGAGCTGAAGAAAGCAGAAACAGAGGAAAAAGTGGATTGGTCATTTCAAAGTTCCTCTCCTTATAATGGGGGACAAGAGAACAGCAATAGGAAAAGAACTGATTGGTTAACATCAGATTATTTCCATTTGCCTCTTTTTGTGTGTGTAAGGATTAAGGCAGAAGGAGCTTCATTATCATGCCAGTTAAAACTGACTGTTGGGGAAGGTTGGTTTTTCTCTCTCCTGGGACTTGAGCATGAGGACTCCACTTTGATTTTTAGCCTGGGCTGTTGGGACCTTCAGCAGGAGTTTAGTTGAAAACATTGGCTTCCTAAAATTTCTGTTTGACAGAGGAAGCAAAAAACTTTGAGAAACTTATGTTTTAGTGGTCTGACCTGGGTCGAGAGCAGAGGGGTCACAGTGGAAGATGTGTTTCCTGCCCTTTCTAGTCATCTGTCACCATGTTTTAGAAAAGTCTGGTTGAATATCCAGATACCTTGCAAAATAAACCCCGGACATTCTTTCTGCCTTAAGGGTAGACAGTCCCACCGTATCCTAGACCAAATCCCCATTGTAGGAGTCCTTCAGGAAGTCTCAGTCAAAGACGGACTTCCTACCACGGTGCAGGCTGAAGCAAGAGGAGTCTTAACTTCCATCTGGCATTAAAATGATCACTGACTAGACTTCAGGATGACAGCAAAAAGCCTTCTGTGTGTATTCCTCAACCAGAATTAGGCTTTCTCACACATAGGCTGCTTTATTGGGGAGAGGGGGCAGTGGTCAAGTGGTCTTTATAGATCCAAAGCAGCTCTCCTTAAACCTTGTCTGTTTGGGGTTAGGGGAAAAGACAGTCCCCAGCTCTCTAAAGATAATGTCAATCTCTGTGCTTTACCGAAGTGGTTCTGATTCCAGGCATTCCATTGTTTAGGGCATGCCACATGTGACCTTTGTGTCTGCCAGTAGACAGGGACCAAGGCCATCTGGTTCCCTCTTGCCTTTTTAGGGAATACCCATGTGAGTGTGTCAATTCCTGCATATCCAGATTCTGGCTTAAGCAAGGAACACAAAAAGTTTTTTTAAAAAGAAAAGAAAAAAAATGGAGTCCTGAAAATCATGTCCTTCTGGCCATTCCTCTATCCTCACCTTCTCTGTTCCTGCCTTCTACCTCTTGAGTCTTTATAAAGGTCTACTGTTGTTCTTCAGTGTTTTAAGTAAGGGAAAACAAAGAGAGGTGTGAGTGTTTGGTTGTGGGGGAGGGGGGGTGTATTTTATCACTTTTGTATTTAGAAACATTTCCAAATTGAGAGATTAAAGGGTTTGTATCACCAGTAAACACAGAGGATTTTGATCTGGAAATCCTTAGAAGGCTGGGAGTGAAGGTGATGAATACTTTCAAGTTATTGAGAGACTCTGCTAGAAGACTCTCACCCTGCATAGTGAGCTGCCTTACAGAGGTGCGAGATACGTTGTGCCTGAGAAGGCACCCAGGGGCATCGAGATAGGAGGCCACCCTAGATGGTAAGAGAGGCTCTGAATTACATGATCCTGGGTGCCTGTAGCTGTTCAAATCTGTGGGTCAAGATTTTGGTTTGGGAGGAAGAAAAAGATGAAAAATATTATTCTAAAGAAAGTACAGTGGGCTAAAACAGTATCATTTGGTAGGGTACCTGCCACCTTCATCTGGGGCAGAAAACTTGTGAACACTTAACATTTTGATTCAATTGTACACATTTCGGGTAATGTATGTGGCTAATAAGATGAATTAGGAAGTCACGTGTATAATCCTAGCAACTCAGGCTGAGGCAGGAGGATCACAAGTTCAAGGCCCATCTAGGCAACTTAGTGTCACCCTATCTCAAAATAAAAAGGGCTGGGGATGTAGCTCAGTGGTAGAGCACTCCTGGGTTCAATTCTCAGTACCACAAAAGTAAGTAAATAAGAAAGAAAAGTTGAATTAAATTAATATTTAACCTCTTGTTTTCTATCTAATTAGGGTCATTGGTTTCCTGGAAGCTATTGTTTGCATAAAATTTGGACAAGATCTCTTCTCTAAGACCCAGATACTTTATGTTGTGCTTTGGCTTCTCTGTGTGGTAAGTCACTGCGTTTTTACCTGAGGTGGTGTATTAGCTGAGCTCCCTGGTGTCTTGGAAGTTAGCAAGAGGAATAAAGTTCTCTTGTGCATCAGGTTTCCTTAGAAATTCAGAGGAGGATATTCTTATAATAACCCCAGATTGACCATCAATCTGAAGTTCAAGAATAAAACACCGATGACCACCCAGCATCTGAACTGGGAACCTGCCTTGGCAGGTTCCAGATAAGTGTCCTCAGCTGGGGCAGCACCCATGCACTTATTTTATGGACAGGACTTTACCCGCACATGCTAAGCATTTAAGTACTGCCATGAAGGGACAAGGACAATGACTGCCTCTTCCTTCATCTCATCATCATGGCTTATACATTTTAACATGCATGTCACTCTATGTCACTTCATACATGTGCATATATGAAAGTGACATGGTTGGTAGACAGTATAAGAGCTTTTGAAGGTGATCAGATCATGGGATTTCTGCCCTGTGTACCAACTTGAGGACACCAGTCTGTGTGAGAGGAACCTCTGCCCGAAAGGGAGTTGGCCAGAGGGCCCGTCACCTGGCCCAGGGCTCCAGCTCCATTGTCCCCACGCTTTCCTCTAAACTTGAAATAAGTTCTTCCTAGCTTGGACATTCTGTCACTGCACTTCTTCGTTTGCTTGAAGTTATTATTTTAGAGAGGAGTTCTCATTTTACATTTGAGCTTAAGGGTTTTTCTTTGCTCTATAAAATTCATTTGAGCTCTAAAAAAATGTTTTGTTTTGTTTTTTAAGAATATTTTAGAGATACTTGCAAGTAAAGAGAATAGATGTCCCCTTGGGTGTCTATCATCTCGTGTCAGCAGTAACGAACTCACGGCCAGTCTTTGTCCGTTTGTACCCTTTCCACTCTCCCCAGCCCAAACTATTTTTGAAGCAGATCCAACTTTAACATTTCAGGATATATCCTAATGAAAAATGCCTTTTTTGTTTTCACTTTTTATAACCACCATTGTATTGTCACATCTGAAAAAGAACTAACAGTATTTCTTGAATATTATCAAGTATCTGATCCATGTTCAAGTTACTAATTTCGACTTAAATTCCATGTTTTTTACAATTTCTCTGAACCAGTATCCACCCTTCCCAGGTAGTTGTCATGCCTCTCCAGTCTCGTTCAGGAAGTTTCCCTTTGGTCTCTCTCTTCCTCACAGCGTACTTGTTGAAGAAACCAGCTCTTTTGTCCTTTAGATTTTTCCCACAGCCTGAATTTTACTGATTTCATCTTGTCCTGTAATTTGACATAATTTTTTGTCCTCTGTATTTTCTATTATTCAGCAGTTGGATCTAGAGACTTAATCATGATTCAGGCCTTTTTTTGTGGAGTCTATTTTTAGAGTTACTTGTTATGAGTCCTAACAGTGCCTGGGCAACTTGAACCTGTTGCATCCTGTTTCATCTTGAACAATATCAGGGAACAGAACAGTATCTCTTTTCTACTTAAAAGAATTAATGCTCAAAAGCATTTTTCTATCTAGTGAGACCAGAGTAGGGAATCAGGGTGTGTGTCAGATGTACATGGAGGTTTTCTGCTGTTCTTAGATTTCTCTCCAGCAAAGGTCCTCAGGTTTGGATTGGAATGTGGCCTGGCTGCCTGGACAGAGGTGGCTGCTACCCTTGCCTGGAACCAGAGAGCCACAAGATCCACAGAAAGGGTGATGCCTGCAGGGTCCCTGGAAAGTGGTAGAGGGTCATTCTCACCACAGTGCCTCCTGGGCCTCCCAGGTGCATGTCATACATAACCCTTAAGTCCTGACCCCTTAAATCCCCAGTGTGATGGAGTTTATTTTAGTCACACCTGTCTCCTCAACCTTGCACTTCTTGATTACRAAGAATAAGTTTTAATTGCTTAAATCCCAGTGACCCCACTGTCTTGAGCACAGGGGCTGATGTGTAGGTAACACTTTGCAAATGGGTGGAGAAGGAAGAATGAGTGGAGAGACAAACACACAGTCATACAGGTGGACTGAGACATTCAGACAGAGGCAGTGAGAGCGGCCAGTGGCTTAGGAGGATGGTGGTCTGTGRAGGAGCAAGAGTGAAGGGGGTGAGTTGGAGGAAGAGATGGAGAGGACCCCCTGCTAAGGAAGGGCTTTGCTGGCTGTAGGTGGAACCCCAGAAATTTTTGAGAAAACAGTGTGGTCTGATTTGTGTCCCAGAGGAACACCTTTCAGGTTTGGGGGTCTAGAGGGAAGATGGGTGGGGCCTGGGGGTGCAGTCAGAGGGTGTTACGGGGAAGTAGATAAGGAGTAGTTGAGATGGGACCCAGGCAGAGATGTTGAAGTGCAGAGAAAGGTCTGGCTTAAGAGTTGGTCAAAGGTCAACAGGATGCTTTTCTTGTGATAGCTGGGAAGGGACTTGAGGGCAGCTCCAGGCTTTCCAGTTTGTGCTAATAACAGACTGGGGGATGTGGGAGAAGCCATGAAAGGGGGAGCACACTTGGTTTAGAGTTGGGGTTGGAGAGACCTTTCACATTTACAGGTAAAGGCATCTGTTTCTTTGGCAATTCTGTCTGTCCAGTAACACTGGGAAGGCTCAGGAGCCCTGTCCATGTGTAGGGTTACAGAGATTAGAATCCCCATCTAGGCACTGGCTGTGGGGTGGGATTAGGTGAAGAAGTACAAGACATATCTCAAAAGGAGAAACTGACTGAGCACGAGATTCCAGGGAGCAGACACATTTAAGAAGTGAGAAGGCACATAAGGAGTAACCACAGGACAGCAGGACTTTGGAGACAAGCAGAATCCTTTGAAGACAAACAGATTGGCATGATCTTTGATGAGAGACATGGAGAAGGATGTGGCTCAAAAAGAGGCTTCTAGATGAGATGACCAGGGGTCCTTTATTATTTCTACTATTATAACAAATAGATAATAAGCTTAAAGAAGGAAAAAGTTTATTTGGCTCACAATTTTGGAGGTTTCAACCCATGATCATCTAGCTCCATTGCTTTTGGGCCTGTGGAGAGGCAACACGTCATGGTGGGAACACGTATGGAGCAACTTCATGGCCAAGAAATAAAAGAAAGGAAAGAGGGAGGGCCTAGGGTCCCTCCAAGGACAGCCCTGCAGTGACATAAGACTTCCCACTAGGTCCCACCACTTGAAGGTTTCCTCCAGCTCCCAGTAGCCCAAGCTGGGGATCAAGCATGTAACACATGAGTCTTTAGGGGGGATTCAAAGTCCAGACTATAGCAGGTCCCCACTGCCTTGCACATTTACTGATTGAAGAAGCATGGAAACAAGGTCCTGGCTTTTTTTTCATATCCACAGCCTCTGTTAAAGAGCAAGATTGATGTCTAACATAGGAGTGAGGGCATCATAATTCAACAAGAGAGCATTAAGTTACACTCTGCCCTCCCCCACTACTCAGAGAAACAAAAGCCCCCAATCATTCCCCTTGCTTGGCAAAAGAACCTACACAGAGCTTGAGATGAATGAGGAAGCAAAGATCTTGTATGCTGGCTGATACGGTTGTCCAATCAATCATCATAAATTGTCATGCTCATTCCCACACCATGGAGGCCAAGCTGAGTTTTGACCCTCATAGCCTCCAACACCCAMGGTCAAACGCCCAGCTCTCACCCTGCAAAGTTTTCTTTTCTCCCTCCCATTTTCACCCCTCTTTAAACAAAATCTGTACAGTTACTATTTTAAACCTGGGCCTTGACATTTTAAGTGGGTGCATGCCTAGATTTCCAGAGGTGTGACTGCAGACCTATAAATTATAAGCTTTTGTCTCCTGGGATAAGTATAAAATGGGCTTCTTGTACTCAGGTGATGTTGTAGATCTGGCAGCCATGGCTTGCCCTTTGTGTGGCCATCATGAATGATAAGCACCTGCCACTGCCACCTGTCAGTGTTTGCCTGGCTCCTCTGTAAACCCAGCTCTGTCTGCTGCTTGGTGGTGGAGAGAGCTCCTACTGCTGCCACCTGCCCTCCCAAGTCTGGCACTGAGGAAGGGATGAGCCCTGAGCTCCTGCCCTCTGGTGGCCAGAACTTGCAATGACAGTCTAGTGGTGTGATATGCCACCCCACTCCCAACCCCACCCCACAGCCAGTGCCTGGATGGGGAACCTAATCTCTCTCCCCTGTATGAAGCCCAGGATGACCTGTTTGTTCTTTGTAAAGGACCTATCACACACGTAGTCTATTCTTTGCCATTCATCTCATGCGATGAAAACAGTACATTTAAAGTTGGCATGTGTAAGAAATCTTGGCAAGTATTAGAATATACTAGAAGTTAGAAGTCATTTTCATTTTATAATTTTAATATAGTCACTCACTGCCCAACTCTCTGATGGGAGAATATGAGCTTCTTTTAATCTATAGAAGTGTGCCAGCTTGCATATGGATTTAACCCATTTTGTTCTAGATGTGAAATACCTAGAAAAACTTAAGTTGAGCCACAAATATACCACTTATGGTAACTTTGAAATAATTGTTATATTTGTAGAGGTCTCTTATTTTAAAAAGCAGTAGGTAAATGATTAGTGTTTGTGTGTGTGTATTTGTATGTATATATAAGAAAACATAAGATATGTATATGTGAATATATAAGAAAGCATGAAAATATATAAAAAGGACATATAAGCTCTTTATTATGATTTCCAACCCACTTTAGTGCACCTTTATCATTTTCATTGAAATATTTACAGAATTGAAAACTTGAGACTCAGTGGGTTTGATATAAAATGAATTAGTGGCTCTTGTGTTTTATGTTCTCTTGCCACCATGTCACTCTTGCCACCATCACTATTCCCACTTTGTTGATGTGGAGGGGCACACCAGCTAAGCACTGGGCCTCCTTTCTGTTTTGGAACTTAAGAGGACACTGTGCACTCAGCAAACACTCAGCAATTATTGCTGACATTTAAAGGAACTGGGCTGAACCAGACTCCAAGCTGCAGGGTCGAGAGATCACAGCCCAGGCCTCCCCTACCTGTCTTGGCTCCACCCACCAGACCACAGGTTGCAGAGCAGATATGGTTGGCATTTAATTTTCTCATGTTGCTTTTATTTCTTGGGTAATGGATAAGTTAGGTGAATGGATAGAGCTATAAAGATATGTAGACATAAAATCAATATTTGTTTATATCAATAGCCATCTCTAAAACTTGGACCCAGGGGTATTGAGAGATCATGTTTTCCCATGCACTAGATGTGCATTCTTAGGAGCCCATTCACCTCTTGAAGGCTTAATTCCTCTTCTGTAAAATGTAGGGGAATAACTAATGGTCTCTGAGGTGACCTTCTAGATCTGAACCTGTGATTGATTCTTGGAAATAACTTAAAGTATTCTCCTAAGAAGAGAGGGTCCCACCATGATTTCACAGTTGTTCCCATAGTTGGGGTGAGCTGACAGGTAATGACAGGTATACAGGCATCTGCAGGGAACCCAGCAGGAGAGATGAGGCTGATTAATGGGATGGTTTGGTGTAAGTGGCTCCCGAAGCTTGGGTTCTGAAGGACGGGCTGTCACTTTGTTTTGGTTGCCTCACTTGCAGCCTGGAAGGTAAGGCTGGTCCTCTCTCTGCCCTTCTTCTCTCCTCTGGCTCTAGGGAGCCAGAGACTTTCCTTTCAGTTTCTTGACATATTTTGAAATTTTGGATTCTTGTACAGTCATCCCTCGGTGTCCATGGGAAAYTGGTTCCAGGAGACCCCATAGAAACCAAAATCTACTGGTGCTTGGGTCCCTCATGTAAAATGGAGTAATATTTACACCTAACCAATGGCTCCTCCTTCTGTGTTCTTTAAATCATCTCTAGATGACATACAATCCCTAACACAACGTAAAGGCTATGCAAATAGTTATTTAGGGAATGATGATGAGAAAAATAAGTCTGCATGTGTCCAATACAAACATAATTTTTTAAAAAAATATTTTTGGTCCATGGTTGGTAGAATCCAAGATGCAGAACCTATGGATGTGAAGGGCTAAGAGTATGTACTTTTTTTTTTTTTTGCTTAACTCGGAGTGTCCTTTTGCATAGAATCTTCGGAGATGCTTGCTTTTGAGAGGCTTATGTGGCTCAGCCTTTCCTGAGGCAGGAGATGGAACGAGGCCCTCGCCATCTTGGGTGTGGTGCCAGTTGAATGGCCAGGCAAAACAGGGCTGGAGGCTGGCCCTGCCTCTGAGTGCCCACTGACCAGCCTTTCTCATTACGCTCAGGGCCTTACAGAGCATTTGTTTCCTCTTTATGTTTCCTATCTACTTAAAAAAAGAAAACAAAAGAACCAGGGTCAAGGTGAGGCCTCTGACACAGAAAAGCCATAAAAAGCAAGGGCAGCGTTGTCCTGCTGAGCTCTGCCAGGACACAAGGGTGTTTGTCCTCCATGTCCTCAAGCACCATCGTGACCTGGCTGAGTAAAACTTTCTTTTCATTCACAGATCCTCTTCCCCACGCTGAGCCCCTCTCACTCTCCCCAGTGATAGGGAAGGGTGAAGAGGATGGGCCATGAAAATCAGAAGCCCAGAGCCACAGGTCCTCTCTTTGGAACTTGCAGAGCTGCTAGGAAACACATTCCACCCTCTTTCACGTCTGAAGTGGCCTCTTGTTCTGAGAGCAGCCTCACACGGGGTKACTGCGGCCTCCTCATCATCTTTCCTATCAAAAGCTATGRGTGTTCACCGCTCTCCCAAGCCCTGCTCATCCCCTGGGATCCCATCTCTGYCATATCCAGCAATTTTGTAAGCAGCATCCGTAGACGGGTGGCAGAAATGCACTGAGCCAATTTCTGTRAATTTGCACCGAAACCCTGAAGTTCTAGAAAATGGGGAACTTCTGTGCATCATCATTTATGAGCAGCTTCATGCCTGCTGTTTTGTCTTCCAGGCCTTCACTACATTCCTCTGCCTGTACGGCATGGTTTGGTACGCGGAGCACTACGGACACCGAGAAAAGGTACAGAAGGAGAGCAGAGATGGCCTTGGTTTGAAATAGCCGTCTGTTCTTGGAGGGTTGCCTCCCAGCTACTGATGGAAGAAAGTGGCTAGGTGGCCCCCTGGGAGCTCTCCCCTTCTCACCCCTGTAGGGACCTGACTAGGTCAGGGTTCATGCCTTGTCAGTGCTGGCCCTGCTGAGGCTGGCCTCTGTTAGTAGGTCAGTATTTTTTTAATCTTCTTTTTGTAAAGAATTTAAATCTTAACTATATGCTTTTTTGTTTTTTGTTTGTTTTTGTAGTGCTGAGGCTTGAACCCAGGGCCTTGTGCCTGTGAGGCAAACACTCTACCAACTGAGCTATTTCCCCAGCCCTTTAACTATGTGTTTTTAAAAAAAAAAAAAAAAGGAAAAAGTGGGAGAGGCCTGGACCAATCTGGGAAGGCTGGGTTTATTCCTGAATCTTCTACTTTGAGCAGACCTTCTGTGTCCCAGCCCAGGCTTCCCATCTGCAAAACATCTGCCYTGTCCTCCTCTTAGTAGATAGGAGRATTAAAGTAGGGAACAGGTGTGAATGGGTTTAATAATGTTTTTGTAAAGTAAAAAAATCATGCTTTCACCCTTTACTCATATCTTTAGTCTCAGGAGCTAAAGGCACATTCTAGAAGGTGATTCTGTATGTCCTAGCAGAAAAGCCTTGATATTCCAGCCCAGAAACAGTCATGAGGTTTTTGTGACTCCCTGRTGATCTCAGCCTAGGATCCCTGAGCTCCTCCCAGACATACCTGAACCCCCTCACTAAACTGTGTCTCTCTCTAGACCTATTCAGAGTGTGAAGATGGCACCTACAGTCCAGACATCTCCTGGCATCACAGGAAAGGTACAAAAGGTATTGTTGCTTCGTTCATTGTTTAAAACAATGGGTCCTYTGCCCCTGCAAGGCTCAGTAGATTTGGGATCAGTAGGCATCCCCTGAGTGTTGGTGGCATAGGCCTCAAAGGTTCTCAGACCTGCTCATTGAGTACCACCTGTCGCTTGTTAAGCGTTCACAGAATCTGCAGAGATGCTTGCTTTTAAGAGGCTTGTGTGGCTCAGCCTTTCCTGAGGCAAGAGATGGAACAAGGCCCRCACCATCTCCAGCACCCCAATGGGAATGTTCTCCCTCTTGGCTTTCCCAAGAGTGGAGTTAGGAAGAATTGTGTGCTGGGAGGAAAGGACTTTCGGAAGAGGTGGATCAGTTTAATCGCATTTTTCCAGGAGCCAAGAAAGCAAGAGGGATTTCAGTAGTTAGGGACCTCCATTAGCCTCTTTCAAGAGCACATTTTGGAAAGAATGGGGCCACTTGACATGTGAAAGAATTAGATTTATGGAATAGTGACACTAAAGAGGTCCCATTGTTCCATTCTTATGAGCTGATGGGGAGGCAGGGCTAAGGGGAGAGAGTTATGAATGCTAAAAACAGCTCCCAGAATTGCCCAGAGAAATTGGGGCCTGAGAATAAGGCAATTCTGAGCAATTGCCCTCCCAAGTCCTTCCAGGGCCATTAAGCTCATTAGAGATGACCCTGGGCAGACACTAGTGTGCATCCTGAGTTGGTGGCCACCCTCTTAAGGACAATTTCTCCCAGATCAAGGAGTCATTCAGCAGCCCCTTGGAATGCTGATGTCAGCGGGCAGAGGGTTCCCCAACCTGCCTTCTCAAGAGCCATCCCCCTACAGATAATCCTGGGAACTTCTGGTCTTCATTGGAAGAACTGAGCAGTGATAAATATATTTATTACATGGAATAGTGAAAAATGAAACAGTCAAAGTCTTCAGAATGGTAAAATAATCTTTTAGACTAAGACCAATGATACTTTGAAGACAGAACTCAGAACATTTTTTTTTTTTWAATGACTATCTTAGAGATTTCCCACAAGGTTGGATCCAAACCCAGGAATCCAGGAACAGAGAACCCTTTGGCTTGACTGCTAGGTCAGGGGTTGGCTGCAGATGCCATCAGAAGACAGAACCAGCCAATATGATTGTGATCCCAGGGCTGTACATCATGGGCAGCAGGGACCTGGCTCATAAAGGTGTCAATCTCAATATCAGCTTTAATTTAGCCATGTGTGATGKCRTACACCTGTAATCCCAGCTACTGGGAAGGCTGAGGCAGGAGGATYACAAGTTCAAGGCCAGCCTGTTGCCAATGTAATAAGATCCTGTGTCAAAAAAAAGAGAAAACTTTCATTTTATATTATCACAAATCCTTGCAATTTARCATTTGGAGACCTTGGAATGTAGCCCCTCAGGATATAGAACAGGTAAATCCGTCCTTTTGCAAGGCTTTAGCCTTTAGCCATTTTTAACAGATTGTGGTTTAAGTTTTAATTGTCCCTCATTTGTGCTTTGATTTCATTTGTAGTCTCACTTATGGTCCCCATCACACAATCTACCTTACAGGTGTAAAATTCCTCAGGAACCATCCTGATTTTGTGGGGCTGTTTCCTGACACACCTGAAGCACCAGCTGAACTCATTCAGTGCCCAGTCTCAGTGCCTGGCTTTAGTTTATAAATTGTGGCCACTAGAGGGAGAGCAAGTATCAGGAAAGAGCCTGTTCTTAGCTGGTGGTCCAGGGCGGACTTGAAAGGCAGAGCTATAAATCACAGGAGTAAAGCCCTGGCAGCTCCACAGCCCAAGGTGACAGTGTATTCCGATTCCTTTGGCCAGGTTCTGAAGACAGCCCACCCAAGCATTCAGGCAACAGCGAAAGCCATTCTTCCAGGAGAAGGAACCGGCATTCCAAGTCAAAAGTCACCAACGGAGTTGGGAAGAAATGAAAGACCCTGTTTAATCAAAGATGCTTCAGAGAGTGCCTAGAACTGAGAGGGAAACRGAACTCCTTTGGACCTCCCTCATTTGGACCTCCCTGTTAGGAGATCAAAATGTACAGAGCAAACAGGAAGAGGAGAGGGAACTTGGGGTGGGGGTCATCATTTGAGAGTRTAAGTCTTGTTTCCCATAGACTTTCCCACACCAGGCAGACCATTGCCTGGATCCTTTGCCAACTTGGGGTCTCTCCTAACTTCATCACTTGGCATGCGGTCACCAGTAGCAGTACAGTGTGTTGGAAGGAAAAAGTAGCTATTTGCCACAGTCAAGAGCAGCTCTGTGCTGGTGTGTTTTGTGGATGCAGCATGAACATCTCTGTTCAGACATGGTTTTAACTGAACTGTTAATGGACTGGTCACCAATTTTTATTTTCATGAATTTGCCTTTCCATTTGATTGATTTGTGTAAGTTCAGTCACTTCTCCATCTTTTATTTTGTTGTTGTTGTTGTTGTTGTTTTCAAGTTAGGATGCTTAAAAGCCTTCAGAATCCACTGCTGAAATTGAAATTGGGGGAGGGTTTTGTGTTCCTGTTTAGCAACCTCAGCCCCCTTTATAAGACCATCAGCCACATGGAGGGTGAGCTACAGGCTGAGGAGGGGTCAGCTGCCTGAGTGGGAACCTGGGTAAAGATCAGAACCTTTTTTGTTCCATTCCAAATGTCCTTTGTCCAGACTTATCCACAGCACACARCAGCGACCCTGCTAGAGGGGCAGTGAACGCCGAAGCTCCAACCCCCAGGTGCCTTTTACATGTGCTTGGTTTCCTTCCACCGTGTGTTGCCCACATTGTCTTTTAGTCCCAAGTGAGGTGCTGGTGAGTATTACCTTTCATCTGTGCCATGCTCTAGAACATTCTCCTCATAGTTCACCACCTCTGATGGTTCCCTGTTTGAAATAAAACAGTTCACATTAAAGCCCCTCAAAGGTCTGTCTCTGCAGAATGCTCATTTCTTTGCATCTTATTAGTATTTTCATCATTTGTAAGCAGTCTCTGTATTTTTCAGCTGACTTTAGGATCGTGCATGCGCGCGTGTGTGTGTGTGTGTGTGTGTGTGTGTGTGTTTTATATGGCGAGAAGAAAAGACAAAAAGTGTGTACTTTAAAGGGCTTATAGATATACGTGTCTTATTTCTTACCCTTCCTAAGTGATCCTTAGGGAATGAACAGCACAGTCATTGTTTTTCACTATGGTCATGGTTACTGAGTTGGATTTTTTTTCCCCTCTAATAAGTGGCCTGTACCCAGTTGATTAGCTTACAGATATAAACTCGCTGAAAGCAATCTTTTCCTCATTTCACAGAGCACAAGGGTTTCAATATCTTTTTTCCCTTTAAGGAAATCTTTCAACCACCAGAGTGTTGTGTTTTTCTTTGTCTGCAAAAGAATTCCAAGGTGAAGGGGTTAAATGAATCATGCAAAGCCAGGGTCACATCCTATGCTCTGGGCGACTACTTGGTTCAGAGCCACCCACAGACTTGCTCCCACAGCCACATGTGACATGGAGAGGAACATCAGCAGCCTCTGGCCCACATGATGAGTAAGGGAACCTGCTGGAGTAGCCACAGCTTTGAGCTTTCCCACGCTGTCTGAGCAGCATCCGCAGCCTGCCCGTAGAAGCAATGAAGAGAGGGGAAGAGATATAAAACCTGCCTGTATTTTTCTTTTTCAGTTTACAACTAAAGGGAACACCTCTATCTGTATGTCATGCACATTTGCAGGGCTTTGCACATGCTAGGCAAGTGCTCTGTCATTGAGCCACATCCACAGCCTGCCTGCACTCTTGTAACCCATCAAAGAGTCTTTTTTTTTTTTTTTAACATAGGCACAATTTTGTAAACATTGATTTGCAAATAAGAGAGCTTGTTTTATTTCACTGTCTACATTTTCCTTTTCAGAGCTCGGAAGGCTTGTGCACCTAGTGTGTCTCTCCCTCCTTCCTTGTGCCTGTGGCTCATCACCAAGGATTTTTAGGTTCAATTTTCCAGGAGATCTGGGCCTGGCCTGTAGCACTCCTCCGATAGTCCAGTTCCACTGAGAGGCATGTGTCCCTCTCTAGAGCTGGCATGGAGGAGGAACCTGTGGAGCATGAGGTGAATGTGACTTGGCATATGCAAGGAGAAAAGTCCGGATTTTCTGCAGGGAAGGTCTCAGATACTCTCCTTTTCTCTCTCTCTCTCTCTCTCTCTCTCTCTCTCTCTCTCTCTCTCTCAGTTCAAACTTTCTTTTTTACCTTTAAGTAAAAGCTCTTGATCATAGTGGTTGCAAATCCAGTACTTGCTATGGCAGGCTAAATACTGTGGCTGCCATTCTTCCTCCAAACCATACTGCTGGGCTTGGCCTACTTTTCCACCCAGCTCTATGGAAATGGATCTCACATTGATGGAAAGAGAACACATTTCTCAAAGCCTTAACTTCATTGCCAGAAATGATTGATTGTAAATGACCTGATGTTCCCTATATGCAAATTGCTGTCTTTAAAGACACCTTTGCTTAGGGCAGAAAGCACGAAGAATGTTTTATGTACTTTTCTTGGTAAGTCACATTATATTGAGTGTTAGATGCATTCCCCCTTTGTCATTCTTGGTCTTTCCAGGGCCTCTCCCTGCTTTCCTTCTGTCTCTCTGCACCATTTGTAGAAGACTTGCCTGAACTGCTCTCATGGCCACACTAGGATGTTCCATTGCCCCATTAAGAACTCACGATATGAGGCCTCCTGTAAATGCCAGGCTGATTTCCCAGGACTGCTTCTAGAGTAAGCTCATGAACCCAATCTCACCCAGGGGAAAGAAAACCTGTGACAAAATACTCCAGGTTCAGCCCTACTGATCTTCCTACAGAAGCCACTCTCTGTAGCATCCCAGAGTGATAACTGTTTTTGTCAAGACTCACCCTTTGGAATTGGACTCCTGGAGTATTTTGGCCCTCACAGAGTCACCAGAAAGGAGGTATGTTGGACACAAAGGGGAAGGCTTAACAAGATGGGAAAGACAAAAATGTAACCATTAGAAGCCAGACTCAAGTGAGCCCTTTAAACATGGGATGTGTGTGTTGGGGGGACAACATCCATGCTCTTTGGATCATGCTCAGTGGCTGCTAGGAAATTCTGGGCCTACCACAGTATTTACCAGGTGGATGTTGTTTCATTTTTATTGTTATGATAACTAGCAATCTCCCAGGGTGACTTGCAGTGTTCAGTATATTTCCCATTTGTATGATGGGCCTCAGGATGGATGGTGGGCCAGAACCCTGTTTATCCACATTCCATTACTTAAGGGAACACCTCTATCTGTATGTCATGCACATTTGCTTTATTTGAGATCTGGTTCTTTGAAAGGGCTCAGACCAGTGGGCTACAGTCTTATTGCTAACACATAATTCTTAGACTTTTAAACATTTACCCTCACATTTTATTCTAAATCTATGATAGGATGAACACAGGCAAAGTGTGCAATATGGGAATTTGATGCATTTTGCTATCTTCTGTGAGTTTAAAGGAATATTGCCTACAAAAGGAGGAGAAGTAGTTGGATATGATTTGTTYAGGGTATGGGCATGCTGAATCATAAAAATCTTGTCTCTGATATTCACTAAAAATGCCTTTAATCCACTTCAGAAATTTCATTGATGACTTTGTTTACCCTGATATACCCTTTCTTGCAACTTGGGTGGAATTTTGAAGCTGCCCCCATCCTCTGAGATGATATTTGTTGCCATCATCTAACACTGTTCGAAAGTTTTCAACAAGTCCAGGTCCCTCTTTTGAGGCCTCCCGTGGCTAAACTTGATCTTCACCTGGTGATGCTGTGGTACTCTAGTTCTCTGGATAAAAACCAGTTTCTATTTTCAGCACACCTGGCTGGCCAAAGACAGGCAAGCTTCTGTCACAGTCCTGGTGAAAGGAACTCTTAAGCCCCCAGTATTATTTGTCCTTAGAGTAAAGAGAAGGATGTGGGTGAATCCATTTCTCTCTCACAAAGCTCAGGACAATAACATCATTCAGAAGATAGCATTTCCCCAGGGGCTTGGCTTTCACAGCGGAGTGAACCAGCCACCCAGCCTCTGATTGCTCTGAGCGCATGCTTGTACTTCTTGTGCCCTGATGTTAATTACTGTTGTTTCTTTGGTGCTGGAAGGTTCTGAAGACATCGAGCTGCAGGGGCTAGCATGCTGTCCATCAGTGGTATCTTGCAATAGCAGGAAGGCCCACTCAGCTGCCTGACCTTCATTTCCAGCAGTCAGACACCAGTATTCCAGCGCAGGGTATGTTCCCCTTTCTGGATGCTGAGAAAAGGTGACTCTTGTGGCCTTACAAACCACGGGAAATGAGGTTTGTCTAGCTTTAAAAGAATCAAAAGAATTGAGACCAAAGAATCAAAACATTGCATTTTTGTGTCTGGAATGTCCACACAATAGCCTTAATTGTAGGGTCCAGTTGCAGGTAGGGTTACAGAACGCCCCATACTGGGAAATCTGCATGAAAAACCTAACTAGCTCCTCTGCCTTAACCCAGGGCTGTTTGGGCTCTTCCTCCTCTGTCTGACCAAGGTGCATACTCCTGGGCTGATGAGGTATTTCATGGATTCAACCTGGGAAGGGCTTAAGAAAGATCTCCAGCTCTCACAATGTTCTGGATCCCCCGTCTTCCCTTCGAGGGGATGACGCCCAGGCCAGGAGCGAGGGATGAGTTTGCTAGTTGAAAATATTCAGAGGACTAGAGTCCTCAAACCCCCTCCTGCCGGTGGGGGCTCTCAGAACCCTCTTCTTGCCCTCAATCTTCCTATCAGCCACCATAGCCCAAAGCTTGCTTCACTAGTGAGCCAGGTGCTCAAGTGCCATCTCCTTCCACGGGAAGGTTGTCCTAGATCCTTGCACATGTGTATATTCTTTTTGAATCCTGTGAATTTGATGGTGTTCTTACCCTTGGGACTTGAAGCTTAGGTTGAGTACCTGCCTCCGGAACACTGACCCAGGAGGGAGGCATCAGATCAACCCAGGACACTTTCTCCCAGGATTCTTGACTTCCACTCAAGAATCCTATAGGAATCCATGTCCTATTCCCCATTACCAGATCACAGCCCCACTAACCTGCTCCTGGCCAGCCTCAGCAGCTGGCAAATGGATGGTGAGCAGTTGGATCCTTGTGGGCATCGTATACCTTTGTCTCCTACTTTCAAGGAGACTCAGATCTCAGGGGCTCACTTCATTAGAGATGGCCACCCTGCCAAGCCACTCTCCAGATGTTGGCTCCAGATGTGATTGACTGGTTGTACACTCAGTGGGAGAAATGACCCTGTCAGCCTTCAGTGTCTCTCAAGTTTCATGAGTGGATAAGCTCAGGCCTTGACGTCCCTTTGTGTCTTTGGCCTAAAATGAGCCAAGGTGCCAGCCCTGGAAGTGGGGTCCTGCCCTCTCTGTGTGGTTTTTTTCCTGGGGTTTTGATGTGTTCTGCAAACTGTCGGAAGGTAATTCCTCTCCCCTGTAGCAGCTCCCTCTGCCCTCAGGAATGTGATTTACAATCTGGAGAGGCCATAAAGCTCTGCTCTTCACTTCTGAAAAACAGCAAGTATGGGAAAGAATGTAAATTATAAATACTGAATTCCTATGGTCAGCAATAATGTAATGGCCTGGGTGGGTTATTTTTTTTTTAATATGGGATGCATATGGCTTTAATTTCTAATGCCCTTCCCCCCAACTACCATATTTCTAGGGAGAACAGATAACAGCAAAATGTCCTGCTGAGATACAGTGTTTTTCTAAAATGAAAAATAGCKTTTCTCCGATGACTCACTGGCCAAATACTTTGAAATGCCACTCTACAAAGGGGGATGGGACTGTAGGTGACAGTGATGTTCCCATACTCATCAGCCTGGTGATCTGCTGTCTTACTACCCCCAACCCACCCCCAATGCTCTTG